TCTTGTTTTTTCTTATATTGACCAGAAACTTACAATCCTTACAAATGAAACATGTATCTGAGTGTGGATTTCCAAACCCTAAGTTAAAATTTTGACTAAAAATCTTCTTGTATTTAGCCAAAGAACATTTAAAGTTTGTTGTATCACAAAATATTTTGTATATTTTCTGTATGTTTAACTCAGGAGCTAAGTCGTTTCTTCTGCATTTTTGCTACTTTGCTCAAACAACTAAAAAAAGTCATGTATATTTTTCCTGTAACAGAACTGAGTCCAAAGAAAGTCGACGAGTTTTCTTGTGAAATCGATATCTTAATTTTTTTGCATAAAAGATTCAGCTAGTAGTTTTTGCCAGTATTTTACAGTAAAACGTTAAGAAAAACGCGATTTTTCTGTTTAGAGACAGTGTTGTTTAGAAACATTGACCTAAAAGTGAAGAATCTCCAGTTTCCAAGAGTATTCCAAATAAATGATTATAAACTTTCGCTTTTTCAGTTCGGAGAAATATTTTTCGAAAAAGGCTCAGAAATAATTATTAGGGTTTTGTCCGTAAATCGAAGCTGCAAAAAGTTGGACTAAAAAATAATGCAATTTTTGCGCCGAAAGAGTTGCTTTACAGAAACTTTGTTAAAACTGGAATGACATGAAAATTTAAACGAACTTAAAAATTTTCGAATTTTCCAAATAATTTTTTTAAAACTTTTACTGTCTGATCATTTTTTCCTAATTACTTTCGGTAAAAAACTGAATATTTGAGTTTGAATTATTTGGTTTTTGTGCCGAATTCGAAGCTGAAATGGGTTTTCTAAAGTTCCCTGCAAACCGGTGAATGAGGCGAATTTTCTAGCAAAATTTATTTTGTAATTTTTGGCTGAAAATACCACATATTGTCAAAAAAGAAAAAAATCGTATGCAAAAAATGTTTTTGTGCGTTTTAGATCAAAAACTTTTAGTTCTGTGATCGGTTTCGGAAAAAACCTAAATGGTTTTCGGGGAAAAAACGGGAGAAATTTATTTTCGATTTTGTCCCGAATTCGACGATGAAAAGAGTTTTTGTCAAATTTTATATGCAATTTTTCGCGTAAAAGACCTCCAGATCTTCAGTATTTTGAAGTGAAACTCTACAAAATAGAGCGCGTTTGAGTAGAAAGTAGAGCAAAACAAAATCAGTCAAAACTGAAAAACCACATTTTTTAACAAATCTACAGTCTTAAGAGGAATGGAGGCGACGAGATTTCCAAATAAATTGTTATAAATTTTCGCTTATTCTGTGCGTTTTTTGATAAAGGGTGTCTCAACAAGAGCGCCGTATTTAATATTTAAAAAAAAATACATATTTTTTTCGAACTACGCAAAAATTTATATTTCAATGTTAAGAGGAATAGCTGCGATTAAACATGAAATACGACATCCGGCAAATGACCACCACGAAACCTCTGGCACACGGTAATTCTTTTCATACAATTCTGGTTCACGATTTCGCATAACTGTGGCCCAATTTAAGCAATAACGCATCGTATCTCTTCTTTAAGGCGTTCAACTTGTCTGTGGCTTGTTCCTATACACCTTTTACTTCGCGTAACCCCAAAGAAAGAAGTCCATTGGCGTTAAATCGCAGGATCTTGGTGGCCAATTTTCATTTCCAAACCGAGAGATGACACGGCCTGGAAACTTGTTACGCAGTAAAGTGACTGTTTCGCAAGCTGTGTGGAAAAACATATTCTACACATCTATATGATCGAACTGGAGCCGCAAAAACTCGGTTAGCATATTGCTAATCACCATTAACATTTACTGCATTTCCGTTGCTTTTTTTGTTTTCACAATAATTAAACGTTGTTCATTCGAATACTGCTCCATAACTTTGAATCGCAAGGTCTGTACATCACAACTGTCCAAAAATTATGGTCAAACTAGTCACACAAAAAAATGGCCGCAAATTCGAATCCGGCGCTCTTGATGAGACACCCTTTAGAAAATGATTCCGAAGCTGGAAAGGGATTTAATCAAAACTTTCTACAAAGCAACGGAGGATTCAAAATTTATTCCATAATTTTACGCGGAAAATACCTTAAGATTGTCAACATTTTTAAGCGAAACTTTGGAAAATTGAGCATTTAGAAGAAAGAGTAACTCGGGTAAACCTGTAAAATTCTGAAATTTGAATACATTTTGAAAATATTATTAATAAAGGACCTTAAAAATAAATCGAATACAAGTAAAAAAACCATTTGTGCAGCACTGCGCCAACTCCTGTGTTACCCAGGCCTAGCTTAAATCTTTATTATATAGAAGGCGCGTTGCCACCAATAGGTACTGTTTGACATTTCCTAATTGACAATCAATCAAAAATCATGGCTCCAAAGCCGCACCTCACGCCCGAGGAGCGCAAGGAGCTGCGCGCCCTAAAGAAGGCTGAGAAGAAGCAGAAGCGGCAGGAGAAAAAGAAGCAGCTGAAGCGGGAGCTACTGACCCGCGAGATAAATTATGGGGCAGTAACGCTGAAGCGGCAAGAGAAGACCTGGAGACAGCTGCTGATTGGGCTGAAAGTGCCCGAGATGCGTAAAGACCTGGAGTTTGCCTGGCACCACTTCGAGCGACTAGTGGACTGCAAAGACTTTGCCATCTCCCTTTTGTTAGATGAGCTGGACAAGGCTAACGGCCAGTACTTCTTGAACATGAAGACGCACTCCGAGCACATTGACCAGCTGCTGCAGATGTTCGCCGATCAAGTGCAGCAGCTGCAGCAGGACTACAGCAACCAAGTAAACATCCACAGGACTATTTTTCGTTCAAGTGAACACGTGGCAATAACGATTTCAGGCCGAAGAGCTGGAAAAGGAACACCAGTTCAACGCCGACCAACTGGAGGCTGGTAGTAGTGAAGAGGAAAACTATCTGAAGACCGTCCTCTACATCCTGCAGCTCGAAATGAAAGAGGTGAAGCGCACCAGACATGCGGAGTACTTCTCCAAGCTGGAAGAGCAGGACTCAAAGCAGCACCAGCTGGTGCAACGCATGAAGGGCATACTGGAGCAGCTGCACCTGCAGGTTTGGACCGACACCGTCCAGTTCCTGCAAAGGCACCAGAACAGTATCAAGGAGCGGAAGAAAATACACCTGGAAATGAAAAGCGAAGACGACAAGCTGCAGTTGCTCATCAGGAACCAGTTGGAGCACATCCGCTCTTCCCACAATACGATCCGCAGCCTTAAAGTGAAAGAAGCTGAGCTGGAGAAGTTCTTGGGCAGACACGTGGCGGACTTGCAGTCTGAGTTTGACTTCTTTACTTTTGCCTTCAACAGCCTGAAAACCAAGCTAACCAAGGACAGAAGGTTGGATTTCCAGAAGCTCAACTGCTTGACGATCCACTATAATGAAGTGATCGCCTACATGGAGAGCTTGGAAGCGAAAGGCAAGCACATCCTCCACGTCGGTTCAGTGTGTCGGAAACTGGAGACGGTGAAGGAAAAAATTCTACCATTTCCAGCCAACTTTGTCAACGAAATGTCCAAGCCCAGTGTGAGCGAAGTCAGTGAGTACATGGAGGCCTTGGAGCTTTTCTGGCAGAGAGTGGGCAGGGCCGATGCCGCCCGTTACGGCGTCAATGAAGAACGCGAGTTTCTCATCACAGAGAACGAGATTCTGAAGCGGCGTCTCCATCAATACTGCCAGTGCTTGAAGTGTCCAGACTTCCAGCCCTTCCAGACCACATCTAGGCCCTGTCGCACTATCACGGAGGGCGTTCTCGAGTTGAAGAAGTACAACAAACACGGCGTTTGTCAGACCCAGTTCGCGAAGGACGAAAGCGAGCCCACCTCTACTCTGGATTCGGTCAGCTGGAATGATGCCAGTTCGCCCTTTAAGTAGCTCAATAAAAACTGGTTGTAATAGTTTGTTGGCGTTTCTTTCCGCGATGAAACGCCACTGCGCGCGTAAAAATAAAAAACTCCTGTATAAAAATAGCCTAGCCGGCGTAGTATTCTTAGATCGAAGCACGTTTCCAGGTCGGTTTACGCGATTAGTTTAGCGCTTTCAATGAAATCGGACATCAGCCAGTTCCAGCGCTACTGCGAAAAAGCCATAGGGCAGCTAACTGCCGAATCTCTAGAAGCGTTTAAAGAGACGAAGGATGACGTGGCGCGCATCCAGGTTATGTACCCGTTGGCCCAGCAAATCCCCCTGGACCCTGGGGGCTGCTCGAAAAACTTTCAAGAGGCTGAACAGCTGAAGAGCGCCGGCAATCGGGCGTTTGCGCTCAAGGACTATTCTGAAGCCATCCAGAGCTACAACCAGGCCATCATCTGCTGCCCTCAACAAACAAGTACTTTCCGCGAATATAACCAAACCTTATCTGATGGTCCACGTCTTTCCAGTCGAAGACAGACAGCTGCTGACCATCTTAGTGTCCAACCGGAGTGCCTGCAACTTCGAGCTGGGCAACATACGCAAGGTGTTAGACGACTTGGACTACATTGGGGAAATCGGGGACTACCCCAGCCATCTCTGTTACAAACTGTGGCTGCGCAAGGGCAAATGCTACTCCGCCCTACAGAACAAGAAACTGGCCGGCGAGGCCTTCAACGAGGCGTTGAAGTGTCTGGAGCAAAGCGGGCTGACGAAAGAGGCCTTGCAGACGAAGGCCCACGAAATCCAAAGGGCCCAGACCGGACAGGCGAAGCTCCAGGCACCCAAAAGCCAGCTGGAGCTCATTGCGGCCTTTCCAGAGGAGCGGTTTGTGGGCGGCGAAGAGTTTCCGGCGGCCCATCCCAAGATCACTGTTAGCCAGGATAGTATCCAAGGCCGCTATGCCAAGGCTGTGGGAGATATTGAAACAGGTATTTGCAGCTTGATGAAAGAGTCGAATGCTATACTTGCGTCTTTTAGGCACCATTCTGGTGGAGGAGACCGCATTTGGTGCTGTGGTGGATAAGGAGCACGCTTTGAAAAATTGTCAGAACTGCCTGGCTTCGGTTGAGCTGCCTATCGCATGCCCTCAATGTTCGGAGGTGATCTTCTGCAGCACTCACTGCAGCCGGATGGCCTTCAAAAGCTTTCATGGGGTGGAATGCGGGATGCAGCGCCAGCTATTCCAATGCGGCGCTTCGGTTAACTGTCTTTTGGCCTTGCGGCTCATCAGCCAGAAGCCGCTGAGGTTCTTCCTGGACAAGCGCAGCAAGCTGCAAGACTTTATGCGGGATTCTTGCAAAAAGAGCGCCCCATATAAGAAGGTCTATAGGTAAGGGAAAGATGGAGCTATTGCGATTTTGAGGCCCATTTTCACTGTCCTCTAACCAGGTCAAACGACTACGACAACGTCTTCTTCCTCTGCCGCAACGAATCGCTGCGCAAGAAAGAGGAACTGGTGGCTTACGCCTGCATGTCCATCTACCTTCTTCGACTTCTGAAACAAGGGTTCTATTTTGGGGAGAGTACCGCCGAAGCCCCAACAACAAACGAGCTCTTTGTTGGGGGGCTGCTGCTCAGACACCTGCAGATATTGCAGTTCAACGCTCACGAAATTTCACAGCTCCAGAATAGGTCCTCGGGATTCGAGGCAGCCTGCATTGGGGCGGGGCTCTACCCCACCTTGGCCCTCTTCAACCACTCTTGCGACCCCAGCCTGGTCCGGTACAATGTGAGGAATAAAATAATCGCCCGAGCCATCCGGCCCATTAAGGCGGAAGACATCATTTACGAAAACTATGGGCCGTTGTACAGTGCGGCCGACTTGCAGCAGCGCCTGGAGGAGCTGAAGAAGAACTACTGGTAGATGGGAGGGATGCGCAATGGATGTGAAAAGAAATTCTGCCGTTTTTTGCAGGTTTGAGTGCATGTGCCAGCCCTGCACGCAACTGTGGCCCACTGTGAGGGACATGCGCGAAAACGAACTCAGAATCCCCTGCAGGAATGATCAATGCCCTTATGTGTTTCTGGTGAAAGGGGATGATGACCCCTTTCTGACCTGCCCTTATTGCGAGAACGTCACCGGCCTTCTGCCCAACCTCAGAGGATTGATGGTCAGATTCTGAAAAATGTTTGCCGTTTTGGGGATATCTGGGAAAACCTTTTGCAGAAACTGGAGGAAATCCTACCAGAGGCTGAACATAAGCTAGGCGCCGCCCACTTCGAGGTCGCCCTCAGGAAGTTCGCGGAAGCCCTCGATGTTTTGTTCCAGTTCTCCTCGCCTCCGCATCCGGAAATCATCAAAGTGCAGCAGCGCATGAGGGACTGCATGGTGCATTTTGGGAACAAGGCCTTTGACTACAAGCCACATATTATGCAATAAACCATTTAGAATCCAGTTTGCATCAGGAGCATTTTTTGTTTCGCCTGCGGGTAGAGGAATAAAAAAATCTTTACGAAGACATCCATGGGCCCAGGGTCAGAACAGTGCACTGTGCACTGTTCTGGTCCTGGGTAGTGTTGGATTCTTACCAACTAAAAAATACTATTTTTTGTACTACTAGTTTTCGTGATTTTTACAAAAAAAAATTAGATAGAACATACAGAGTGAGTTTTTTTCGATGACTAGTACAGGAATCTTTGGAACTATAGCAGTTACGAAAAAGGTTAAATTGACAGAGAATTGTAGTTTTGAATGCTCTACTCGAAACCAATTTTATTTTTCTAAATTATGACAGCTGACAAAAGATATTTGGGCGCAACTTATTTATGGTAATTTTTAAATTACTCCTATTTCCGTTGATATTAATTTGACAGGAAAACATTAAATAGAGAACTTGTAGGAAATTGAATTCTAAACAAAATGGCATAAGACTTTTTGCAAAATAACTTTAATTTTTGTCATATGACACAAATTTCAGTTTTTTTAAATGGCAACCATACTTGATGATTGTTTTACCGAATAGAGCATTTTATTACGATTTCTGTGATATATCGTAAGGTTTTTAAATAAAGTGTCTGCGAATAATTTATACTTTCTCAATTTAGTTGATCTAAGTTAGTCATGGAAAATAGTATAAGACATAATTGATAATTTTTGTGTTAATTCTCCAGTTAACCGTTTTCGTAACTGCTATAGTTTCGAAAATCCCTGTATTGGTCATCGAAAAAAACTCACATGCGCTCATCCACTAACATCTGCGGCGTTTCGATTCAAATAGAACTTCCAATCTATGTGCTGTATCCGGCGTCTAAGGCAGGGCCTACCTAAGCCTTACTGACGAGTCCAATAGCTAGGCCCGGGACGAAACGCATGTCGCTTCAACGCGCGCCATATTATTTTTTTCTTAACCGTCCACACCAGTCCTGTCTGATTGCGCTTGCGCGTCTCACTGCCGCGTTGCCGGTTTGATAATTTCCATTGCGAACGAAATTATAACCTCAGAAAAACACGGATACTTGTGGATTCTAGCACGTTTTTAGTTCAGTCAGGCTTACCA